CTTTCTTTCTTTCTTTCTTTCTTTCTTTCTTTCTTTCTTTCTTTCTTCTGCACAGATGAATATGCTTCTAGTTGTACATTGTCCTTTGCATTTCTGAGGTAGAATTGAAAAATGTTAAACATTTTCAGCCAAAGTGGACAATATAGGGTTAAGAGCATTGGACTAGGATTAGGAAGATGTAGATTAACAGAATAAATGAGTTGGAAGGGACCTTGAAGGTCTTTTAGTCCAACCCCTTGCACTAGTAGGAGAACCTATATCATTCTGGACAAATAATTGTCCAATTTCTTCTTAAAACCCACAATATCTGGAAGCAAGTTTTTACACTGATTCAGTTGTTCTCACTGTCATGAAATTTCTCCTTTTTTCTAGGTTGCTTCTCTCCTTGATTAGTTTCCATCCATTGCTCCTTGTCCTGCCTTCAGATACTTTGAGGCATAGGTCCCTCTTCTTTGAGGCAGCCCCTGAGATATTGGAACACTGCTATCATGTCACCCACTAATCTTTCTTTTATTTAAACTAGACATACCCAATTCCTGCAACTGTTTTTCATATATTTTAGTCTGCCATCCCCTAATCATCCTTGTTACTCTTCTCTGCGCTTCTTTCTAGAGTCTCAACATCTTTTTTATATCGTGGCAACCAAAGCTAGATGCAATATTCCAAGTGTGGCCTTACCAAGGCATTATAAGTGGCACTAACACTTTACATAATCTTGATTCTATCCCTCTCTTACTGCTGCCTGTACCTGAGCATTCATAAAGCTCATTTGGTTAACTGGGGCAATCGCACTTACTCATCCAACTTATCATGATGCAAGAATCACATTGGAATGAAATTCTGCACAGACCCTTTGAGATCCTGGATGGAGGGGAGTACAAATACCAGTAACAATATTAACTTTTATGATAGATATAATTATTATCATACTGAAACAAGAGCTCTGGTCTCTTCTAAACCTGTTTGCTTTCCTCCCAAGTTTTCTACCTTGCAATATTTTATACACATGCATGCACAAACGCAGTTGCACACAAACACCCAAGATTCATTTGCTTTCTCTTTCATTCTATGTACAAGTTTCTAAAGAGGTTCAGCTTGTGTTTTGTTTTTTTTTGCTTGATGATTGACGACTCCTCTTTCTCTCACAAACTCATCGTGGCTGCCAGATTCCAAAAACCAGCAAAGACTTTTTGAGATTCTCTAAGCAATTTCCTTTATTGTTCCTCACCTGCCAAACTTAAGCAGGCTATTTGCACCATAAAATGTAGTATCCTCTGGAAACTATTAGGGAAAAGCCATCTTCTCCCAACCAAACTATCTAAACTCTGCTGTCTCTTGTTATTTGGAATGTGCTCCTGGGAATCCAGATTAGATTCCATTACAGAGGCATATAGTATGTAGTTCTTTTTCTAATTTTCTTCACAAGAACCACCCTGTGAATTAGCCAATCCCTGAAGCACATTCGCCCATTGAGTTTCCATGGGTGGAGGTAAATTTGAATCTGGGCCTCCCCAGTCCTAGCCCACTATACCATGCTGGTTTAATATTGCCTCCATAAGTTAAAATATTTTGGTGTAAGGATGAAATGATTATTGCATATAGCAGTAGTTCTCAAACTTTTCTTTACCCCAGACTCCCTTTAAATATCTTTTGTGGCTATAGATCATAGTCTAGGACCCCCAAGACTTAACTCAAGATTGAAATCATAACATTTTTTTCAAGCCTTCACCCCCCCCTCCCAGTGACAATATTGTGGGGGGGCTCCCAGGGTCCATGGATAACAGTTTGAGAATAACTGGTATAAAATATTTACACAGAAGGAAATCCGTGCTCTTATTTGTTCTGTTGATGAAGATTCTCAGTCATCCATATAGAGTTTCCATGATTCAAATGCCAAACATTTGTTCTAATTGTTGATCAACATATCATAGCCATATTTATCAACATAATGTTCTTTAGGTGCTTCAAATTACAACTGCTATCAGTTCCAGCCAACATAATCAGTCAGACCGATGAGAATTGTAGCCTCAAATAATTGTAAAGCCCATGTCTGAAGAAGGTTACATTACAGAATAAGATTTAATTAAAGTAAGTTTTAACAGTTTCTGGTTAAACCAAATCTGTGGGCCTGGTCAGAGCTGACTTGATCTTTGGGAAGTATGCCAAAGAGGCCATGACAAAGTTTAAATCTTATTTAGCTTTAATTAATTGTATATATTTTATATGATGATACATAACATTAGTAGAGATGGAGTAAAGAGGAAATGGTACAGCACAGCCACATTAATTGAATTTTTAAGATCCTTAAATTATTTATCTTGGGTTCTGCAACCTCTTTTGTTATTCCCCACTTTTATTACTACAATTGATCATGTTTTATAAAGTGGGCATGCATAATTAATATTTCAATTTATCAATTCAAGAGCATCCACACTTTTTTTGCATATAGACATTTCTAGAGCTATCCTGTTAATTATTGATATGCAAACTGGTTTTGTCCCAGCATTTCCGGGAGGCTGAACTTCTCTGTCTCTAATTATGATACATTTTGAGTCATTTGATGGACGCTGACCTGTTGGCCTGTCCTGTCTCCCTCAGTCGGATCCCTTGAGGTCCTCTTTGTAAAAATGTAACCCTCCGCCTGTTAGAATTTCCCAAGGTCTAACTTTCTCTATGTCCAGACCTATTTGCTAGCAACCATGGTCTCCACTGCCTAGCTAGAATAAGGCTAAATGTTAGAAAAACAATGCTTGTCCTGAGAAAGATCCCAGTTCTATAGTTTTGCCCTTTATCTCTAGTTTTTTTTAAATTATGATTTTTGTTTATTTTCCTGCAGTGCACTAGAATTGTAGTGCTTCAAGGCTTAGTTCCTTTATAAGACATTTTCACAACTGAATTTACTTTACTATCCCACTTAGTTGATCCATAGGATGATTTTCCATATATAAATTGTTGCTAAGTTTGAAAGAGAAATAGCATCTCAAAGCATGACCGGTTGGAGTTCAAAGTCAGATTTCCTTGTATTTTAGTTTAATTAAAATTAATGAACTAACTCATACGTTGACATGGGATTTAGCTACAAAATAATAAGATTTAACTTCATCATAAAAAGGTAGGTGGATATTTATTTGATATTTATTTATTAGCTGCAGAGGCTTTGCCCTGAATGATAAGGGAAAGGATTCCATGCACAGGTTCTTTTTTAAACCACAGTTTGGGTAAATTTGTTTTAGCTGGTCAAATTTGCTGTGATGAAAAATGGCAAGAGGGAATTCCATGGCAGGTTGATACAGATCTATTTTTACTTTCGTTTTTCAGGATTTGTTGGCAGGATGAATATAGAAAGAGACTCTGAAACGACCTTTGAGGAAGACTCTCAGCCCAATGATGAGGAGGTCCCATATAGCGATGATGAGACGGAAGACGACCTGGACACTCAACCTGACGTTGAGCCAGAACAGAACTATATTAACAGAGAAGTGGAAGCAACTCGAGAGACGCTTCGAAAAGGTGAGAATGCAAGAAATTATTACCAAAGACTAGTGATTATTTTGAAGGATTTCTCCCCTCCTCTTATAATAGAGTAGAATAACAGAGTTGGAATGGGACCTTGAAGGTCTTCTAGTCCAACTCCTTACTCAGGCAGGAAACGCTATACCATTTCAGGTAAATGACTGTTCAATCTCTTCTTAAAAACTTCCAGTATTGGGGCATTTACAACTTCTGGAGGCAGATTGTTCCATTGATTAACTGTTCTGTCATGAAATTTCACCTTAGCTATAAGATGCTTGTCTCCTTGATTAGTTTCCACCCATTGCTTCTTGTCCTGCCCTCAGGTGCTTCAGGGAATAGGTTGAGCCCCTCTTCCTTGTGGCAGCCCCTTAGATGTTGGAACACTGCTATCATGTCACCCCTAATCCTTCTTTTCATTAAACTAGACTTAGCCAATTCCAGTAACTGTTCTTTATATGTTTCTGGGCAACTAATTGAACTACTTAAATAATTACCCTGTATTTCCAGAAATATTGAAAACGCATTCTATTTCTATTTTTTTTACTGTTTGCAAAAGAGTACAAGGACAGGTGAGCTGGACAGATTCTACAGAAAGTATAGTCCTCGACTTACAACCATTTAATGACCATTCTTAGTTATAACTGCATTGAAAAACGTGACTTAGACTTCTGGTTTGAGCTTCTTTGGCAACAGACCGAAACCACGACTCTGCACGGTTTCGATCCATGCTTGCCACTGGAGCGCCCCGAGCTGGCTGGTTTCAGGGTTAGCCACCCCATAGAGGTGGTGAAGAGGTGGGGAGACTGCCTGCAGGGTTGAGGAGAGCCACATTTCTCCTCCTCAGCTGGCCATTACTCCCTTTCCTGAAGGCAGTTGCAGCGGTGGTCAGAAATGGCCACCCCAAAGAAGAACTCTACCGGAAAAGAATGTGCAGGAGGAAGATAAGAAGAGAAAGTTTTGGTTGACTGGGTCAAACAGCAAAAGCAATAAATAAGGTACCCTGGAATTTAAACTATAAAGAAAAAATAACACTGTTCCCAAAGAAGATTTTCAAGCAGTGAAGGAGAGAGAAAAGGGAAAGGATTTGTTTTTTTTCCCCTCTCCTCTTCCTTTCCTTATACTGACAGCTAAGAGACTTAAGCAAGAAATTGAAAAAAAAATCCACTTTGACATCAATAGGCATTTAAGCTGAAAATAAAATGTCAAAGGGATAATAAAGATTTCTGGATATTTAAAAGCTTTTGAAAACAGGAAAGGAGAGAAAAAGAATAAAAGGGCAGGATCTGGAAGGGAGGAGACTGCCTGGAATTAAAAAGAACTTACAGTAAAATCTCAACAAGGCTTCTAAAAGATACATTTTAACTGAAACATGGCAACAAAATAGTAAAACCTCAGGAAGAGAAAGTGAAAAAAGAAGTAAGAAGAAACAGCTCTGGAGTATTTGGATTACTTGGTGACTTCTGGATTTTTGGTTACTGCATTTGAATGACTAAAATCAATCAGGTGGTTGTTTAAAAGTGTTTAAAATGGTACCACTTTTAGAAGAACTGAAAACGGAACTTAAAAAGTACAAAGAAGATGCACAGGAAGGGAGAGGTTCTTTTGGCTTTGGATTTCAATTCTTAGAAATGGAGATTTGGAACTATGAGAAACAACAAGAAATGCCTGCAAAACAAGAAGACTGGGACAAAGAAGAAGCCATCTTTAATGGACAAGTAATTTTATGTGGGGAAAAAAAGGAAAAGGGGGAAAGAGAATGAAAAGTTTAAGATTTGGAAAAACAACTCCAAAAAAGAATAGTTTGAAAAATAAGTATAAAATTAGAAAGGAACAGAAGAGGGAAATGCAGAAGAGAGAATTAGAGACAAGGGGGTAAAAAGGGGAGGAAAAGAAGAGAGGGAAGAAAGAAAGGAAAAGAAGTTATAAAGGACAGAAACAAGATACAGGGCCTATTTAGAGATAATGGGTGAAAATCTAATTGAAAAAAGGATTCTGCAAAGGTACATAAGATAGTATTGTTATATTAGAAATAGAAATAATTTCAGAAAATATGAAACAATGTATGATCAAAATGATGGATAAAATAGTTATTGTAATTTAGTGAAATGTTTGTTAATAAATAAATGTAATAAAAGAAATATTTAATGATTTATAAAACATAAGTGAAGAGAAATAGGGGAAAAATTAATTATGGAAAGATTATATGTGTTCCCAAGGATGTATGATATTTAATTGAAAAGAAATGTTAAAGATGTTAAGACTTTAATGAATATTAATGATAGAACTGAATTGGAATGGAATGAGGGTTTTAAGTACATATATTTATAATCCTTTTTTTAAAAGAATATAGTGTGTATTTTAAGAATGTACCAAGCAGAATTCGATTGGAAGTTATGTATTATGTATTATATTGAATGTTATAACATTGTATACATTGAAGTTTAAATAAGAGTTGAATGGATAAAATTAAAAGATATAAAGGTGTCATACTCCAATTAATAACTACAGGAGAAAATTTGTTTAATGAGAAAAGATAATATGAAATTGAAACAGGACAGACAAAAGTATAAACATAATGATTTGAATTGAGATGAGATAATCAAAATAAAGTTGAGAAAAGTAAAAGAGGGGAAAAACTATATAGAAAATGCAAAATAGTAATAAGATATGGAATAGAACACAAAAATGAGCATGAAATTGAGTTTGTGTCTATATAAAGAAGTGTAATGCTATTTTCATGACCATGCTATTTTCAAAAAAGATGTTTTACTTGTATTTTGTGTGTGTGAAAACCCAAATGAAACTTTATTAAAAAAAAGAAAAACGTGACTTACGACTGGCCTCGCACTTACAACTATCATAGAATCCCTATGACCATTGGAGCAAAATTTGGATACTTGGAAAGCAGCATGTATTTATGTTGGTTGCAGCATCTTGGGGGTCATGTGATTACCATTTGCGATCTTTCCAGCCAGCTTTTGACAAGGAAAGTCAATGGGGAACCCGGATTCGCTTAATAACCATGTGATTCATTTAGCAACTTCAGTAATTTGCTTTTTTTTAAAAAAACAATTTTATTTGGGATTTCACAAAACAAAAAGAAAAAAAAACATCTTTTTTTTAGTGAACAGCATGGTTCCAGGTTTTCACATCTCCATACAGATGTAATTTCAGTTACATATTAATCTTTCATATTCCATTTCTTATCTTATCACTACTTTATATATTCTCTATTTATTTCAAATACCTCCCTCGGGCTTGTTTTATAGTTTTCCCTTTCATTTCCAGATCTATTTCATTTTCTTTTCAAAATGTCTGTATCTTCATGGTCATTATACTTATACCTTTATCTGTCCTGTTTACAATTTCACTACATATTCTTATATCATCATTCCCCCCCCAAAAAAAACACAATTACTCGACATTTCAAGTATTACAAAGCAAGGGTTCCCTATTAATTACCATTTAGAGTGTGTCACCTTCATATTTTAAGATTATTTCCCTTTCAAATCCCATTAAACATTCAACTTTTAAATTATCCCCTTAAAACAATTATAACGATCACCTATATTATAATATAAATCCCTTTTCAATCAGATTCCTCAAGGTACTTCCCCCTTAAATTTCAATTAAAAAAAGAAAATAATTAATCAATTCAAATTCATCCTAGAAACTGATATTAATCTCCTTACAATCCTTCTCATAATTCAATTATATTTTATAGATCATTAATATACATTAATATTCATATTTTAACTCCAGTAATTTGCTTAATAACCATTGAAAAAATGTTGTAAAATTGGGCGTGACTCACTTTAGAACTACCTTGCTTAGCAATAGTAGTTCCAAATGTGGACGTAAGTCAAGGAATACTTAATAAAAATAGTTTGGAACTGATTGAAGTATTAAGCATGCTAAGGGTGAGTTAGGTAGAGTAGTTCAAGATAATTTTATTTTATTGGCCATATCCAACAAATATAGGCGTACACACACACACACACACACACACACACACACACACACAATTTGGAAGAGTTTCTGAAGGAGTCATTGATGCCAGGGTATTTGTTCCATCTTGGTTTTTTTCAATGTTCCTACCTTGCAGAAAAAAATAGCACTAAAAATAGAATGTGTTTTCAATATTTCTGGCAATATGGGATAGTTATTTAAGTAGATCAATTAGGTGCCCAGTAATAAACTTAACAGGTAATCTAATTTAGGTCTTCTTAGATTCCTGGGACCTTTAACTTTTCCATGCCTAGTTTGATGAACACAAAAAAACCTTCCATCATCAAAAGTCAATAATTAATTCAGAACATTTGCAGCAAGGAAGAGATTATCAAGGAGATTTTTCTTCCATCAAAATTCAACACAATAATTGAGATACATTTTTTGAGGATATTATAAACAAATAATAAATACTTATGCGAATAAGGATTAAAGCACAGAAAAACAATGATTAGATTATGTCAATTTTTCAATTGGATTTAGTAACTGCATAGCAAATAGATGCCTTATTACAATAACTTTTCAATAAGCTTTTCAGTTAAAAACAGAACAAATGGATGACGTAACTGTGGTTCTTTTCAGTAAGGTGTCCTTTTTTCCCCTCCAGGTAAAATTAATTTTACCATTCAGCAGCTATCCTGTTCTCCCACTTTTAGCATTTCTCTGTCAATACTACATATTTTGTTGGTTCACCAGTACTGCTAGTTTGCATTTATAGAAGCAAAATTGAACAGATATTTCTGAATGTATGCAAAATCAAGGATATAATGCAGAACTTTTGCCTTTTGAGCGTTGTAAATGCTGCTTTGAGATTTAAAAAAAGGGGGGGGGAGGCATGTACACTCCCACTTAATACAGTAATGAAAACCTGTTCATTACTTCCAATTATTTACAAATTAAATATTTTGCTGTGTTTTCAGATTGCAGCTGGCAAGTTAAAGCAAATGACAGAGCTTTCTATGAGCAACCCCAATTTAAGGAAACAATATTCCTTTGTATTCAGAAAAGTAAATATGCGGTAGGTAAACACCTCTATATGTACCGGTAATAGTTTCTTTCCAATAGTTCTTAAGCCTCTCATCGAAAGAGAAATCTTAATTGATTAATTGTTTGAATTTTTGTACAGTCATGGATTCATTAGTCCAGACTTTCTGAAAGTAGCACTTTCTAGATATATTTGAGTGCAGTTCTTACTCTAGTGTATTTAGCCACTTTGTCTAGCAAATATGCAGAAATATCCAGGAGAAAAAAGAAATTGGATTCCTCGGTTAAGCTTATCTTCATTTTCATGTAGTATTCATGCATTGCAGCTGGCATTTAACATAGTTAAAGAGCCTAGCGGTTGGTACACTGGAGTTTTCATCAATCCTAAGATTGCTGTTTTCTGTTTCGTTCTCAAATGAGAACTTGTCAAAAAAAAGAAAAATCACCTTTGCAGTTTGAATTACTTAATTATTTTCTAAATGCCATTAACTTTTTTTGTGCCAGAGAATTCAGTTTGGCCTTTTGGAAGCTGCACTTTCAAAGTTGGTGTTTAGAGCTAAATTGGAGGTGATTTCCTTGTATTTTAGTTTAATTAAAATTAATGAAATAACTCATACATTGACATGGAATTTAGCAGAGGAAGAAAAGCAACATATCTACCAAATAATAAGATTTAACTTCATGGTAAAAAGGTTCCATAGGTGGGTATATATTTGAGAAAGAAACAATAGACTCCTATGTAAAAATATTACTCAGGGATTTAGAAAAATGTACAGTTTTTTTTTAATATGGAGAAAGTTAAAATTGTCTTGATTAAGAAGAATTCTTCCAAGGTTTAATTTTCTGTTCCAAATGCTTTTATTAAAAATGAAAAACAAGGTATTAAATTCCCAACGTTGAGACTAGTTTGTTGATTGAAACTGTTAAGAGTAGCAATAGCAATAGCACTTAGACTTATATACCGCTTCACAGTGGTTTACAGCCCTCTCTAAATAGTTTGCAGGGGCAGCCTATTGCCCTCAACAATCTGGGCCCTCATTTTACCCACCTCGGAAGGATAGAAGGCTGAGTCATTCTGAGCAAATTGAGCAGCAGAGTTTATGAAAATTCCTTTGTATACTTAAAAAACCTCAACACTTCCAAAAGTAATGATTGCAGAGAATATTTATGAAATCCATTTATGAAATAAGCCAGGAATGGGGGTTGCTTAGGGTTCCCAAGGCAGCTTTCCAATATTTGATCAAGTGGGAAAAGCTTGATCCCTTCAATGCCTTTTTAAAGTGGGTTTTATTTTTATTTTTTTTATGTGGAATAATATGTGGTGGCATAAGACTTTTTGCAAAACATTAAAATCCCGAAGACTGTTTCAGAATAGTCTGGTTTGTGTAATACACTTGCATATCAAATCACTTTGGTTAATAAAGTTTTATTTAAAGTACAAAATGAATTGATATGATTTCTGTATTAATGCTTTAACTAAAGTGATTTTTTTTTGTCTTCCACAGGGGAACGCCATCAAAACCTACAAGTATAACCCAATTACCTTTCTGCCATTGAATTTGTATGAACAGTTTAAAAGAATTGCCAATTTCTATTTTCTTATTCTACTTATTTTACAGGTATAGTAAATGTTGACATTTATTATGGAGTAAGCAAGCCCCCTTTATAGTCAATTTTAGAGTTGCAGATTGACTCAGTATACATCCACCACCAGTGTAAAATGGATGATAATCTGGGAGACTGGATTCTAGGACTTTGTGGTTTTAACCGCATGAGGGAAGTGGGAAATGCTAATTTTCAGAAAACAAATTGCGTGTAGCAACATCGGAACGTGTAGCAACCTGATCCTAATTTCCTTGTTCAGCTTATAGACAGACACACATCTTAGCCCCTGAGGGCAAGTGCAATAATGGAGCATTTTTGTGTTAATACCAAAAATCAGTACTTCCTGCTAGGGAAAGGAGTTTTCTTGCTTCACCGCTGTTAACCTTTAACATCCTCCTAAGAGGAATAGCATAATCTGCCATCAGGAATCTATCTAAAATACATAAATGACTTGGGATATCTATGTGGTGCCTTACAAAAATAATTAACTGAAGGGTTTTGTTCTTTTCACTGCAGACAATTCCTCAGATAACAACTCTGTCTTGGTATACTACATTGGTTCCGTTACTCCTGGTCTTGGGTATCACTGCAGTTAAAGATCTAGTGGACGATATTGTAAGAATGTTTCTCCTTTGCTATTCACTTAAAAAAAAAACTATTAAGAGTGATTAAATTAAATTAAATTTAAAAAAGGAAAGGCATGACTTTACTTCTCAAAAGAGCCAGTTTGGTTGTAGTGGTTAAGGTGCTGGCTTAGAAACCAGGAGACTGAGAGTTCTAGTCCCACTTTAGGAGTTCAAGACGGCTAGGTGGGTTTGGGTCAGTCATTCCCTCATACCCCAATCCACTCAGAAGGTTGTTGTTTTTGTGGAGAAAATAGGAGGAGGAAGGAGTATAAAATTTATTCACTGTCTTGAGTTACTTATAAAGTAATAAAGGTGGGATAAAAACAAGATAAATAAATAATTATCTTTTGCAATTATTATGTGGGTACCTTCCTGATAAGCAATTATTTAATTGCCTGAATTATTATTATTTTCTGCTTATGGTCCTCTGAAATATTTGATGCCTTATCCCCATCCAACAAAAGTAGGAAGAGATCTTGTGGGAGAAGTGATATTTTCAATATTATGATCATTATTAAAACTTCTTTATGTTAAAATAATGAGAGTCTTTTTAATCTTCTTTCATTTATTTCTCCTTTTAGGCACGGCATCGGATGGACAATGAAATTAACAATCGAACATGTGATGTAATCAAGGGCAAGAGGTACTACAGTGAGATTTCTATATAATTATATAATTATGTTTTCTGAGGTTCTCGCGGGTATTTATATGTAGATCTTTGGTTGTTCGGGTTTTCTCCCGCGTAAGATTTGAAGTATCTAGGCAACGTTTCGATGAAGTCTCATTCATCATCTTCAGGCTTCTGTCTCCAGCTCTGTGCTTCTCAGAGTAATGGAGATTGCAGCTGCTTCCTCCTTTTAACTGCCAGTGGGGGTGGAACTTGATTGGGTGGGGGCTTGGCTGTGTTCTGATTGGGTGGGGGTGTGTTCTCATTGGTAGGGGGTTTGGCTGTGTTCTGATTGGTTGGGGGGTTAGCCGTGTTCTGATTGGTTGGAGGCGTGTTCTGTTCAGG